ATGTCCTGGCACATGCTGTCTCATTAAGACCTACAATTATTAAAGTTCATGACAGCTACTAGTACATGGACCCCACTTTGAGAAGCACAGGTCTAGCAAGAGGTAGGGTAGTCGCAAGGTTTATAGGTCCCGCAGCACAGCAGCATCCAGGACTTAGGTTCTCGGATCTTTTTGCACTGCCATCCCCAGCGTGTTGGCTTGCACCCATAGACTGGTTTCTCTCAGAATCGCAAGCTGGCTTCAGCATGTGCATGCAGATGGAGAACTGCAGAGACAAAAAGAAAGCATCTTTTGTGTCCTCTTTAAGAGCAAGGAATATATCAAGCAAACTCACTCTCATGTTTCATTGGCCAAAATTGTATCACGTGCCTGTGCTTAAACCTATCACTGGTGAGGAGAGTGGTATTACGTCAGTTATAACTCACCCCTCAGGCCTGGGAAATTCTCAGCCACCCTGTAAGCACGTGACCCCCCAGCAGCTCTCATATTTTCCGACAGTTAATACATGATGGGGTTTCTGCAGATTGGGGAAAATACTACCTGCCTTAAAGGCTTATTGTAGGAAACTCAATGGCATAATGTATGTAGAGCATTTAGCAGAGTGTTTGGCATTGAATACATACTCCATAAATGTTAGCTCTTAATATTATTAGTGTTATTTTTATTTAAAGCCTTTTTATTTGTACTTTCTTTTTCATTGTAGCTTTGCTTGGAAAGTTCTTCCTTATGTATCCCCAAACTAGACAGTTATTTAGCAATGGTTTCCTATTTCCTTGTGTGTTTTGAAAGTTTGGATTGTGAGTTTATATTTAGTGAGGTTCTCTGTCCTGGGAAAACTGGGTTGAGAATGACTTTCTACAGAGAGGACCCACATGTGTCGGCCTCATGTCCTAGTGTGCAACCTTCTGGGAACTATGAGTTAATGCTCCTGATTGGGGTATCTGGTACAATTTAGGAAGTATACATTTGAACCCCAAACCTGAATGAGGGCTAGTCTCTGAGGGTATAGCTGAGAGAGGGTTCCCACTTTTGTGGGGATGTCAATCCCATATCCCTGCCTTGGGCCTTGACCTGATCCCTCTGAGGTATTGAGAACCCCAGACGATGCTTCACAGAAGCTGTGGCTTCAGTGTCTGATTTCTATTACAGTGTAGAGTCCTGCCAACCCCCTGCCTCCCACTGCCCCATAGGATCATTTTTGCTGTTTTTTAGTGGGAGAGATTTTGTGAAATACAGTCATTTATGAGGGTACAAGTGAGTGCTATCCCTCTATTGTATAGGTCCAGTATTTGTTTCAGTGATTTTCTTCTTTACATTTAACTTTGCAATTGATCTGACACATTTTAGCATATGGTATCAGGTAAAAATTCGACCTGATGTATTTTTCCAAGCAGTTGTCTATTGAAATACAGTCACTTATAATTGCCAATTTGTCGTGTGCTAAATTACATGCAATTAGGTCTATTCCTGGACTTCCTTCTGCTCTATTAATCCATCTCTGTATTTGACAGCATGTAAAACACTTAAAATATTTTCTAAATTATGGCTTCATAATATTTTTATTATCTATTACAGAAATTTTCAAAACTTTGATGCTTTCTCACTCATTTATTCCTCCAGATACATTTTAGACTTTGTTCTAAAGTATATGTTAAGACATAAAATAATTTTTACATCATTGATATCTTCATGATATTCACTCCAGAATTATGTTAGGGCTGTATTTATTTAAGCATATAAAACATTTAAACTAAGTGATTAATTTAGAGATATACTTTTTAGGTAACTTAATAACCCAAAGTAACCAAGGGGGTAGGGAAATTTTAAAAGGATAAATAATGATAAGAGCCATCCTAACAAGTGTGAGATGATATCTCACTGTGGTTTTGATTTGCATTTCTCTCATGATTAGTGACATTGAGCACCTTTTCATTTTGGACATTTGTATGTCTTCTTTTGAGAAATGTCTATTCAGGTCCTTTGCCCATTGTTTAATTGAGTTATTTGGGTTTTTTTGTTGTTGTTGTCGCTGTTGTTACTATTCCAGTTGTGTAAGTTTCTTATATATTTTGGATATTAACCCCTTGTCAAATATATGGTTTGCAAATATTTTCTCCCATTCCATAGATTGCCTTTTCATTTTGTTAATTGTTTCCTTTGCTGTGCAGAAGCATTTTAGTTTGATGTAGTCCCACTTGTTTATTTTTACTTTTGTTGTCAGTGGTTTTGGTGTCATATTCAAAAAATCATTGCCAAGGCCAATATCAAGGAGCTTTGTCCCTATATTTTGTTCTAGGAGTTTTATGGTTCCAGATCTTACATTTAAGTCTTTATTCCATTTCAAGTTACCTTTTGTACATGGTATAAAAAAAAGAGTCCAAAACCAGTATTTTTTAATTCTTTAAAAAATTAAAACTAGATTATGTACACCATTTGAGGAATAATAATTTGTTCTGCTCTTCCCTTGCTTTTGTAGGGATGCATTGCGACAGTTTCCTGCTCATAAATTTTTTTTTTTTTTATTTCAGGTTATTATGAGGGTACACACATTTTGGTTGCACTTTATGTCTTTGCCTCACCCAAACGAGGGTTAAAGGCATGCCCTTCCCCGCTACAATGCTCGCTGTGTCCTTTAGTTGTGGGTTTACCCCCCCATCCCCCTAATCCCTGGAGAGTATTACTGCCATGTGAGCACCCATTTTACAACTGAACTTTGGAATATTTCAAATTGTTGAAAATTTTTTTTTGATTGAATTCCTATTTTCAACTGAATAAATTTATATTCTGTACTGAAAAGGATTGAAATTAAATTGTTCTTTGAGTTTTTAGCATTTATATTTGGTGAAAAGTTGTAAAGAATATATAAAAAATAGAAAAGATGTTTGAAAGGTTTTATTTTGTAAAAATGGTCATGAAGAAAGGTACTCCTAATGAAGACAAAAAGTCAGTGCTTATAAATATATTGAACTTAAATATTTACAAAGTTCAACATGGAAACATTAGAAATGAGGATATTCTCTATTTAGGAGATTTTCTTCTACTTTCCTTGGAACCTAAATAGAGAATAATTTCTTAATTAAAAATATAGTCTAAAAAAACCCAAAAGAATACCATAATCTATACAGAAGAGTCAATTGAAAGTGTCAACAATTTTAAATTTATTAACTGTAAAATGCAAATTTGGAGAAAATTGAAGGAAATTTTATTAATAAATTAATAATAGGATTATATTGGAGAATGCATACTTCAAAATAAGATCCATGACATGATATGAGATCCATTTAGGTAAGGACATTTATTCTTCTTATGCTATTTTTAAATGTTCAGGTAATTAACAGAAACAAATGTGCTTAAATGAACATGTGTACATGTTTTTATTTTTAGAAGGAATTTGATTCCTTTTTCTTAATAGATTTTGCATAGAACTGTTTTATAGATCTAATAATGTACTCAAAATTGTTGGTCAATAAATAAATCTTTCCAAAAATATATATTTTAATAATTTAGCTTTGCTTTTGCTTCCCCAACTTCCCCAGTTTGAGTGATGAATTATATGGTGACCCAACTTATTAGTTTAATTCTTAGATAAATGCCATTGGCAAGTTATCTGAGCAAGTTACCTTTCCAAAGATATACATCTATATTCAAGAAAATAATTCAAATGTAATTCTTCCTCTCACTACAAAATTCTTCTCTGACTTAAATATTTCAATACTATTTGCTGGAGGTTATATATTAATATAAGAAAAAAACATTACTAACATTTTGGTAAAATATCTCACATTTATAAAATGAGTATTCAAAGCATAGAATTTTTTTAATTTATTAATCTTTATCTTGTCTTATCCATGCCTTTCCATTCTATTTCTGATTTCATTATGCCAAATCTGCCCCCTTCTTGTTTTTTTTAAATAAAGTTTTATTGGAAAAAAAAATTGAAACTAGAACTATCATACCATACAGCAATCTCACTTCTAGGTATATATCCAAAGGACATGAAATCAGTATCTTAAAGAGTTAACTGTGCCCCTATGTTCACCGCAGCATTTTTCACAATAATCAGGATATGGAAACAACTTAAATGTCTATTGACAGATGAATGGATAAAGAAAATGTGATCTATCTATCTATTTCTGGTTTAGTTTGTGCTGCTATCACAAAATACCTAATGCTGGGTAACTTATAAAGAACAGAAATGTATTTCTCATAGTTCTGGAGGCTGAGAAGTTCAAGATCAAGGCATTGACAGTTTTGGTGTCTGATGAGGGCATGTTTGCTGCTTCCAAGATGGCACCTTGTTGCCGCATCCTCCAGAGGGGTCAAATGATGCATCCTCACATGGAGAAAGGCTGAAGGGCAAAGGGCATAAATGAGCTCCTTTCACCCCTTTTATGAGACACTGATCCATTCATGAGGGCTTTGCCCTCATGACTTAATTACTTGCCAAAAGGGTCTACCTCTTAATACCACCATAAGGGTGTAAATTTCAACATGAATTTTGGAGGGGACACACGCAAACTATAGCCACAAACACAGACACACAGACACAAAATGGAATATTATTCAGCCACAAAAAGAAGGAAATCCTACCACTTGAAACAACATGTATGAACCTGGAGGGCCTTATGCTAAGTGAAAGAAGTCAGACACAGAAAGATAAATACTGCAGAAACAGAGAATGGAATGGTGGTTACCAGGAGCTGGGGTTGAGGAGGAAGTGAGGAGATGTTGATCAAAGGGTACAAACTTCCAGTTTTAAGATGAATGAGTTCTGGGGATCTAATATACAGCATGAGTGGTTATGGATGTATTAATTAATTTGGTTGTGGTGATCATTACAAAACTTACATGTACATTGAATCATTAAGTTGCACAATTTAAATATATATGATCTTTATTTGTCCATTAAATATTTTAAAATAAAATTTCTCAAAAAAACTGAAAAAAGAATATATAATGGGTTTTCTGTGTTTGCTAATAAAGTGTTATTTTTGATTTAGTGTAAAGATGAAAAAGGAAAAACAGAGAAGAGGGACGGAGAAGTCAAGGAAAGTTATTATATTGAAAGTAGTCTGGTAAGTCAAAATTGATCAACAGCTTCTAAATTCCACTTTGACTATCAGTTCCTAATTTTAGTACCATCAAATTCTTATAAAAGCAAACTTACAAGTGATACATTTGACTGACACAAATATTGCAGTCTCTCCTTTTCCCGCTTATTCTCTGTAGAGGAAAAGGACTGTGCAAGTGTGTGAACGATCGTCAATCTGCTTAGCCAGCCCTGGAATAGTCATGAATTCACTGACTACTGCCAGGATTTTAGTACTCAGCATAATGAACCAGTGAGAGTTCCTCAGTAGACCACCAAGGACAGGGGTCTTTATAAGGAGCACAGGCTTTTGGTCTAATGACCCAATTATAAATTTGGTATTGATAACCTATAAGGGCCTTCCAGTAATTCATATGATCTCAGTTATTTTTGGAAGGGGGATTATGGAAGGGATTATGTGGATGGTCCTGACTGTTGACTCATGATTGAGGATTGTAGGGCCCTCTGTTGCAGCTCATGATCCTTCCATGCTGTCTGGGAGCTTTCAAAAATGCCATGTACACATCCTGTTGTTGCTTTCCTCTCAGGATAAAAACCGTAAGGCTACATTCCTTCATTGTATTCCACAAGTCCAATTGGTGGTTGGTAAACACATTTGTTGTTGCATTGGAAGTTTTTCTATGGTTCTTTGCTATGTTTGGTGTTAAGCGGAATACATATTGCTCTATTAATTATATGATACAAGAGAGACAAAAGGTGTACTGAACTATAGTCCACATTGGCCTTGCCCTGATAACTCTTACTTCTTTGTATTAAGACAGTAAGATCCTTAAAACAGAGACTTTTTAAAAGAAAGAAAACATTTTCATCTTATGGGAAAAACTGAATCAACCTGGGCACCTCTTTTTTTCTATTTAGGTCCTGTCGTTCTTTAATACCCATCTCCTGTGTCCCCTACTCCGTGGCATTTTTCCTGACTACTCTGCTCTCTGCATGTCTGTTTTCCTCTGTCTCTCACAGCTCTTAGCTCCCTGACTTCACCAGGAACAGGAGTTACAGTCGATCCTTGTTATTCGTGGATTTTGTATTTGTAAATGGCTGCTTGCTAAAATTTATTTGTAACTCTAAAATCAATACTTGTGGTTTTTCTGTGGTCATTCATAAAGATGCACAGTGGCAAAGAAAATTGAATCTCCTGATGTACATGTTCCCAGATAAGGTCAAACAGGGACAGGCTCTGCCTTCTCATTTCAGCTTTCATATTGTAAACAAGTGTCCTTTTCATGGTCTATTTAGTGACAGGCTTTTGAATTTTTACATTTTTGTTGTTGATTTTGTTGTTTAAAATGACTCCCCAGTGTAGTGCATAAGTGCTGTCTAGCATTCTTAAGCTCAAGAAGGTTGTGATGTGTCTTATCAAGAAAATACATGTATTAGGAAAGCTTTATTCAGGCATGAATTATAGTTGGCTGTTGGCCACGAATTCAATGGTCATGAATTAACAATATATTTTAAGTAAGGTGTCTTTGAACAAATACACACATAAAACAAAACTATGTATTGATCAATTGATAAAAATGTCGTGACCAAAGACTTTTAGGAACCTAACCCTGTGTTTCCCTTAGGAACAATGGTTCACTATTTGCTAACTCAGGGTTTATGGCAACTTTATAGAATAGAACTGCTGTGAATAATGGGAATTGACTGCATGTGATTTTTATATCTCCAGGGCCTAGGGAAGGGTAAATCTTAACATATGTTTATTTGGTGAAACAGTCAGTGTCCACCAGATATTTTCCAAGTTAATGTAAACCAGGAATGTGGTAGGAGATGCAGAGCAGGGAAGAGCTTCTGTTAGGCCAGAGTCCTGGGGATCTGTCTGTTGGTAGGGAAATTGCCAGGTGTGGGGAAGGGCTGGCCTGTGAGCACAGTCACCTGGGTGGTGAGGTGGAAATGACTCTGGAATGAAGGGGTGAGGGTCCTTGTTGGGCTTTGACACTATTTCAATGTGTCCTTTGTGAAAGCACTTTTACCTCTCTAGACCTCAGTTTTGTTATAAGCAAAAAGAGGCAACTGGGCTAGTTTAATGTCTGAGGCCCAGTGAATTTAGAATGCGAAAAGAGGGAGCTGACAGGTCCCAGGATGCAAAAAAAGCTTAAACGACACATTATCTTCTTTCCAAGAGGTCCAAATGCAGAAATACAAATAACCACAGGAGTTTTAATGTCTGATTCTGCCTTCAACTTATTGCCGTTTTGTTCAGACAATCTCATGGTCAGTTCCGAGGGACATGTGCTCTCTGGTTATACCTTTTGACATAGAAAGGACCACTTCTGCAGACTTCTTGGTATCTGCATGGTGCTTTTATTCACGTTCATCTTAAAGTTTGCAGTTCAGGTCAAATGAAATATTTTCAAAGCTCAGTATGTATTCCCAAAACAGCAATAAATCACTCAGAAAGTTATGTGCTCATTTGCACATGGCTTCAAATTACTGATTTAGCCAGCTGAGGGCACGCATTATGGTTTTTTAGCATATGATTTTTTATTTCTGGTGTTCTGATCATGCAGTAATTAGTGGATACAGATGAAATTACATGCTGCTGCCATTGCCTCAGATGGTCAGGTTTTCAGGATGCCAACTCCCAGCTCCTTTGGAGTTGACATAAATATTATGGAAGCAAAAAATTATAGTCATTTGCAGGGAAATCATGTGTTTAATTGCCAAGTGAAGCAGAGGAAAAATAGCAGAAGCACGCATCATGTATCAGTTAATGTGAGTGCATTATTGCATGTTGCAAAGGGGTCTAAAAGGACTTTTCAATAGCAAAATGAAAACAAAACTATTCTAAAAAATGCCATCTGTGAAGCCTCCAGATATGTCTGACTGGCTCATTTCCTTTCAAAAATAGTCCCTGCATTCCAAAAGATGTTAATAATGAATGGAAATAACCACAGAGTAAAAATGGACCATGGCTGATGGAGTGTGAGACTTAATGCAAGGAGCTGATATTTAAATAAACATGGAAAGGAATATCCCACAGACACATTTTGTGCAGATATTTCAATGTTTGCTGTAGATGGCACTTTAACACAACATAAGATTTCTCAGATCCTACACACAGGTGGATTACTTCAATCATTTCAAACTGGGAATTTACTTAAATATTTATTTCTAAGCAAATGTTATTTGTAAAAAAAATTGCCGATTTCTCCCATTTCCTCTCTTTGTTAGTTGGTAGACCTGTCATCATGGGAAAGATAATTGATAATTCTGTAAGGTTTTATAGGAGGCCAAAAATCAATGTAAGTTGGAAATATTATTATTATATTTCTGTATTGGGTGGACAACTAATCACCACAGAAAACTTATCCTAATAATATGTCACATGTTTTCTTCCTCTTTTTAAATTACACATAAAGTTGGAGACTTCATCTATTATTCTGAAAGCAAAGATAAAGCTCTCATGGGTTCTGCGTAGAACACTGCTAAGTGATCAGCAGGGAATAGCAGTCAAGGTTAAGAACTTTGGAGCCAGATTGTCTGGTTTTAATCCTTGTCTGCCATTTACCAATACGTGTCCTTGGGCACGTTTTAAATTTATACGTAACTCAGTTTGACTATCTGTGAAATGGAGATATTGCTGCTATCTCCCTCATATGTTGCTATGAAAATTAAATGAGCCAATATGCATGAAGCAGTTAGTTTAATACTTGGCATATATTAAATGCTCAATATATGTAAGTTCTCATTGTTATTTAAGTAGCAACTACAAATATTAGCATTCAACTAAAAGCTAAGTGGTGGCATTCTCTGTTATATGATGATCTTTAGACAAAATGATGAAAAGAGCCATTACATTATGAGAGTCTACTATAATATTACCTGTATAATATTCCATATTTTAATTGGACTATTACAATAGTTTGTAATTTAGTAGACATATATTATAAGGGCCTATTCTGTGTCTATTACTATTCTAAGCCCTTTACTTTATCATATTTAATCTCCATAAAAAATCTAGGTATCATCGGCCTGTTTTATAGATGAGGAAACTGAGGTTAAGGCTAAGGAATATGCCTTTTGGAACAAAATTATAACTAGTATTTATGGAGTGATGGCTATGTGCCAAGCACTGTTCTAAGAACTTTACATATATTATTTTTCTCATTTCTTACAACATTCAAGAAGGTAGAAATCATTAATATCAATATTGCGTATGAAGAAACATAGGCACAGGGATATTAAATAACTTGTACAAAGGCATGTAATTAAAAAGTATCTGAAGTAGGATTCTATACCAGCAGCATCGATCCAGAATCCTTGTTCCCAACTATTTTACTGAAAGAAAAAGCAAAGGATTCATAGCCACATAAAAAAGAAGTTTATTTATAATAAATAACAAAGGACAAATAAATGACAGAAATGTGGAAAAAGTATATAAACAGACAATTTATGGTGGAAGAAATAACAATTGACTAATACCCACATGATATTGCTATGGCTAATTTCTCTAAAAAAGACACACAAATTAAAATTATAGTGAGTTTTTTTTTTTACCAATCAGAATTACAAAATATGATAAGATTTTTACTCTTGTTGACACAAGCCCTATAGAGGCCAATTCAGTGGAACCTATAAAAAATGAGGAATGTACATAGCCTTTGATATAGCAATTCAACTTACAGAAATCTATTTTAAAGAAATGGTAACACAAATATGCATGAATATTTGTGCAAAGATGTTCACTGTATTATTTGTAATAGAGAAAAATTAAAAAACAAAGAACATGGACAGGGGAATGGTTGGATAAGTTATAGGTTTTCCATACTATTGAATATTTTGTAGCCACTCACAGTACAGGAATAAGGAATTTATTCCAGGAATAGAAGGAGGTTTCAACATCGAACATTTGTTCAACATAATTCATATGAGTAGCTAATGGAAAAAAATAATGTATAGTTGTAACAATAGATGGAGAAAAAATACTGGATAAAACTCAATACTTTTTTTTTTTTTTTTTGA